TGCTGTACTATAAGATAAGGAACCTCTTCAATGTATGTAGTTACTGTAGTTTGATTGGCTGCATATATATTAATTAATAAACCCCCCCTAATGTGTAGAGGATCGATTTGTGAGATTATGAGATTATTGCAGAAATACAGTCCACTTATCATTATACAAATTGCTATCGAAGTATATAAATTAACGTAAATATAAATTCATATAAATTAAATAAATATAAATCTCACAGGTCGGTTCCCACACCCAGTACACTACCAGGCCCACCAGGTCCCCAGTACACTACCAGGCCCACCAGGTCCCCAGTACACTACCAGGCCCACCAGGTCCCCAGTACACTACCAGGCCCACCAGGTCCCCAGTACACTACCAGGCCCACCAGGTCCCCAGTACACTACCAGGCCCACCAGGTCCCCAGTACACTACCAGGCCCACCAGGTCCCCAGTACACTACCAGGCCCACCAGGTCCCCAGTACACTACCAGGCCCACCAGGTCCCCAGTACACTACCAGACCCACCAGGTCCACCAGGTCCCCACACTACCAGGCCCACCAGGTCCCCAGTACACTACCAGGCCCACCAGGTCCCCAGTACACCACCAGGCCCACCAGGTCCCCAGTACACTACCAGGCCCACACAGGCCCACCAGGTCCCCAGTACACTACCAGGCCCACCAGGTCCCCAGTACACTACCAGCCCACACAACCAGGCCCACCAGGTCCCCAGTACACTACCAGGCCCACCAGGTCCCCAGTACACTACCAGGCCCACCAGGTCCCCAGTACACTACCAGGCCCACTAGGTCCCCAGTACACTACCAGGCCCACCAGGTCCCCAGTACACTACCAGGCCCACCAGGTCCCCAGTACACTACCAGGCCCACCAGGTCCCCAGTACACTACCAGGCCCACCAGGTCCCCAGTACACTACCAGGCCCACCAGGTCCCCAGTACACTACCAGGCCCACCAGGTCCCCAGTACACTACCAGGCCCACCAGGTCCACCAGTACACTACCAGACCCACCAGGTCCCCAGTACACTACCAGACCCACCAGGTCCCCAGTACACTACCAGGTCCCCAGTACACTACCAGGCCCACCAGGTCCCCAGTACACTACCAGGCCCACCAGGTCCCCAGTACACTACCAGGCCCACCAGGTCCCCAGTACACTACCAGGCCCACCAGGTCCCCAGTACACTACCAGCCCACACTACCAGGCCCACCAGGTCCCCAGTACACTACCAGACCCACCAGGTCCCCAGTACACTACCAGGCCCACCAGGTCCCCAGTACACTACCAGGCCCACCAGGTCCCCAGTACACTACCAGGCCCACCAGGTCCCCAGTACACTACCAGGCCCACCACAGCCAGGCCCACCAGGTCCCCAGTACACTACCAGGCCCACCAGGTCCCCAGTACACTACCAGGCCCACCAGGTCCCCAGTACACTACCAGGCCCACCAGGTCCCCAGTACACTACCAGGCCCACCAGGTCCCCACACTACCAGGCCCACCAGGTCCCCAGTACACTACCAGACCCACCAGGTCCCCAGTACACTACCAGGCCCACCAGGTCCCCAGTACACTACCAGGCCCACCAGGTCCCCAGTACACAGCCAGGCCCACCAGGTCCCCAGTACACTACCAGGCCCACCAGGTCCCCAGTACACTACCAGGCCCACCAGGTCCCCAGTACACTACCAGGCCCACCAGGTCCCCAGTACACTATCAGGCCCACCAGGTCCCCAGTACACTACCAGGGCCCACCAGGTCCCCAGTACACTACCAGACCCACCAGGTCCCCAGTACACTACCAGGCCCACCAGGTCCCCAGTACACTACCAGGCCCACACAGGTCCCCAGTACACTACCAGCCCACACTACCAGGCCCACCAGGTCCCCAGTACACTACCAGGCCCACCAGGTCCCCAGTACACTACCAGGCCCACCAGGTCCCCAGTACACTACCAGCCCAGGTCACACTACCCACCAGGTCCCCAGTACACTACCAGGCCCACCAGGTCCCCAGTACACTACCAGACCCACCAGGTCCCCAGTACACTACCAGGCCCACCAGGTCCCCAGTACACTACCAGGCCCACCAGGTCCCCAGTACACTACCAGGCCCACCAGGTCCCCAGTACACTACCAGACCCACAGGTCCCCAGTACACTACCAGGCCCACCAGGTCCCCAGTACACTACCAGGCCCACTAGGTCCCCAGTACACTACCAGGCCCACCAGGTCCAGGTCCCCAGTACACTACCAGGCCCACCAGGTCCCCAGTACACTACCAGGCCCACCAGGTCCCCAGTACACTACCAGACCAACCAGGTCCCCAGTACACTACCAGGCCCACCAGGTCCCCAGTACACTACCAGGCCCACCAGGTCCCCAGTACACTACCAGGCCCACCAGGTCCCCAGTACACTACCAGACCCACCAGGTCCCCAGTACACTACCAGGCCCACCAGGTCCCCAGTACACTACCAGGCCCACCAGGTCCCCAGTACACTACCAGGCCCACCAGGTCCCAGTACACTACCAGGCCCACCAGGTCCCCAGTACACTACCAGGCCCACCAGGTCCCCAGTACACTACCAGGCCCACCAGGTCCCCAGTACACTAGTACACTACCAGGCCCACACAGCCCCAGTACACTACAGGTCCCCAGTACACTACCAGGCCCACCAGGTCCCCAGTACACTACCAGGCCCACCAGGTCCCCAGTACACTACCAGGCCCACCAGGTCCCCAGTACACTACCAGGCCCACCAGGTCCCCAGTACACTACCAGGCCCACCAGGTCCCCAGTACACTACCAGGCCCACCAGGTCCCCAGTACACTACCAGGCCCACCAGGTCCCCAGTACACTACCAGGCCCACCAGGTCCCCAGTACACTACCAGGCCCACCAGGTCCCCAGTACACCACCAGGCCACACCAGGCCCACCAGGTCCCCAGTACACTACCAGGCCCACCAGGTCCCCAGTACACTACCAGGCCCACCAGGTCCCCAGTACACTACCAGGCCCACACAGCCAGGCCCACCAGGTCCCCAGTACACTACCAGGCCCACCAGGTCAGTACACTACCAGGCCCACCAGGTCCCCAGTACACTACCAGGCCCACCAGGTCCCCAGTACACTACCAGGCCCACCAGGTCCCCAGTACACTACCAGGCCCACCAGGTCCCCAGTACACTACCAGGCCCACCAGGTCCCCAGTACACTACCAGGCCCACCAGGTCCCCAGTACACTACCAGGCCCACCAGGTCCCCAGTACACTACCAGGCCCACCAGGTCCCCAGTACACTACCAGGCCCACCAGGTCCCCAGTACACTACCAGGCCCACCAGGTCCCCAGTACACTACCAGGCCCACCAGGTCCCCAGTACACTACCAGGCCCACCAGGTCCCCAGTACACTACCAGGCCCACCAGGTCCAGTACACTACCAGGCCCACCAGGTCCCCAGTACACTACCAGGCCCACCAGGTCCCCAGTACACTACCAGACCCACCAGGTCCCCAGTACACTACCAGGCCCACCAGGTCCCCAGTACCCAGGCCCACCAGGTCCCCAGTACACTACCAGGCCCACCAGGTCCCCAGTACACTACCAGGCCCACCAGGTCCCCAGTACACTACCAGGCCCACCAGGTCCCCAGTACACTACCAGGCCCACCAGGTCCCCAGTACACTACCAGGCCCACCAGGTCCCCAGTACACTACCAGGTCCCCAGTACACTACCAGGCCCACCAGGTCCCCAGTACACTACCAGGCCCACCAGGTCCCCAGTACACTACCAGGCCCACCAGGTCCCCAGTACACTACCAGGCCCACCAGGTCCCCAGTACACTACCAGGCCCACCAGGTCCCCAGTACACTACCAGGCCCACCAGGTCCCCCAGTCCCCAGTACACTACCAGGCCCACCAGGTCCCCAGTACACTACCAGGCCCACCAGGTCCCCAGTACACTACCAGGCCCACCAGGTCCCCAGTACACTACCAGGCCCACCAGGTCCCCAGTACACTACCAGGCCCACCAGGTCCCCAGTACACTACCAGGCCCACCAGGTCCCCCAGTACACTACCACCAGGCCCCACCACTACCAGGCCCACCAGGTCCCCAGTACACTACCAGGCCCACCAGGTCCCCCAGTACACTAGCAGGCCCACCAGGTCCCCAGTACACTACCAGGCCCACCAGGTCCCCAGTACACTACCAGGCCCACCAGGGCCCCCAGGTACACAGTACAGGCCCAGGCCCACCAGGTCCCCAGTACACTACCAGGCCCACCAGGTCCCCAGTACACTACCAGGCCCACCAGGTCCCCAGTACCCACTACACAGGCCCACCAGGTCCCCAGTACACTACCAGGCCCACCAGGTCCCCAGTACACTACCAGGCCCACCAGGTCCCCAGTACACTACCAGGCCCACCAGGTCCCCAGTACACTACCAGGCCCACCAGGTCCCCAGTACACTACCAGGCCCACCAGGTCCCCAGTACACTACCAGGCCCACCAGGTCCCCCAGTACACAACCAGGCCCACCAGGTCCCCAGTACACTACCAGGCCCACCAGGTCCCCAGTATACTACCAGGCCCACACCAGGCTCACCAGGTCCCCAGTACACTACCAGACCCACCAGGTCCCCAGTACACTACCAGGCCCACCAGGTCCCCAGTACACTACCAGGCCCACCAGGTCCCCAGTACACTACCAGGCCCACCAGGTCCCCAGTACAGTACCAGGCCCACCAGGTCCCCAGTACACTACCAGGCCCACCAGGTCCCCAGTATACTACCAGGCCCACACAGCCAGGCTCACCAGGTCCCCAGTACACTACCAGGCCCACCAGGTCCCCAGTACACTACCAGGCCCACCAGGCCCCCAGTACACTACCAGGCCCACCAGGTCCCCAGTACACTACCAGGCCCACCAGGTCCCCAGTACACTACCAGACCCACCAGGTCCCCAGTACACTACCAGGCCTACCAGGTCCCCAGTACACTACCTTCCACCACATGTAGTGTGAGGTTGGCCGGCTGCGCCAGGTGAGGCTCACACCTGTAGGCGCCCGCGTCCGCCCACGTAACATTGGCGATGGTCAGGGAACTGGCGAATTGGTGGTTGACGACCTTCAAGGGCCTCGTTGGGGAGTAGTTGACCATCGTGTCGTTGTGGAACCAGAAGATGTAGTCGGGCGGTTCGGTGGCCAGTTCCACCGTGCAGTGGAGGGTGAGTTTGACCCCCGTGTGGACGTGGATGTCAGGGCCGCCCGCGACCACTGCTCGTGCTTCTGAAATGGTGATTGGATAGTTAGAGGTTAGAGAGTATGGCCGCGCTGGGTGTGGCGCGCAGCGACAAGC